GTTCACCTAGCATACCACTATCAGTAGACTAGACCAAATTACACACAATGTGGTGGCAGAGTATACCTTTGTTGATTATCTTAAAGGTTTGTTGTGCTTAAGGTAATTACGCCTTAAATTAGTCATCAGCTATAGACCCTTCTACAGTCTGGACTTTTTGTTCTATATCTTTCGTTCACCAAATGAACAATTTTCATTAATTCCCTTTCCCAACTTTTGAACCTCAAACATTCAGGTGGATTTGGGCCATAATAACTAGCTAAGCACGGAAAAAAATATATATCTATCGACAGGCGACAGCATACCTTGGTGGTTTCTTGAAGATAGTGGGGAACCAGTTCTCTCATTACTGGTAGAGAAATATCAGACCGTGAGCTGCATTAATAATCAAGAAATTGTTGTCAACAAGAAAATTTGACTAAACAAGAATGGTACTTCATGTTTCATTTTAATCTAGTTGTTCAGATAACTTTGACATAATTGATATACTTCATGTTCCAATTTCATGTTGGTTTGATACTAGCACTTTTGCGCACATAGATGAGAAACGCGTCCATTAACAACTAGTGATAAGGAAATTTAAAAGAGAAGCCTACTTTCAGCAGTACATAAGAAAAAATCTAGTGCCCATATGGTAGGCCAATATAATAAACATACTGGATATAGGTCGATAATGGAAGTGATGCATATCCAACAACTACCTGAAAAAAAAAAGGTAATCGGTAACTAGAGACCAGATTCATCAAAGAGAAATAAGCACAGAACTCTATGTAAATCTTACTGGTCTTGGAGCTTCAAGCTTTGTCTGGAGATCAACATGAAAAAAAGTGAATAGCAGATGATGTGATGGCGTCCATGTGGCAGGAAGAGACACCTTAATTTCATCATGGTAACTAGCAGCTCTAGCTCCAACAGCAACTTGTGTATGAGTCCACTTCTGAAGTGACACACCAGGCTCTCTTGGATAAATTGCCTAGCCAAATCAAAAGTAAGAAACATATAAAGACTAGAGAGAAATACTGATCGTTTCCAGGACTAGTGATGATCAATATAATTACCTCGAGTGGTTGTTTACGGACATCTGCATCATCCTTTCTCAATTCTACTCGGATAAAGGTATTCCTTTTCCGACTCAAAGTAACAGCTACAGGATACACATAAAGGCAATGGAAGAGATGTAGAAAAGGCTCGTTTCTTGTCGTAGAGCAGAAATCAAAAGCCTGGAACAAGAAGATGGATAATCAGATCAAGTTACCGGTAAATTATACCAGGGACTAGAGACAGTTTTCCACCTTCATAACTAGAGTCAGAAAACAGAATGATCTCTTTTTTACTATTCTCCTATTTCAACCGAAATCTTATATGAAGAGAGTCCCTAATTTTTGGGTTCAGTTAAGAAACAAGTTGTTAGGAAACCCCACCAAGATGTATCTAGCTCCAAAGTAGAATGCTGGTCAAGGATGACTATCAGGAGGAGAAAACAGGTTGATGAAAAGAGAGGGAAGCTAAAGAAAAAGAAACACTTTAAGCAGTAGAACAAGGAATCAGTAGAAAGAATCATAAAGCTGATACACTTACATAATAACAATTGTCAAGATTCCCACTTGAGCTTGTTAGGTTTCTTGAGACATCCTTTGCGTCCTCTGTATTCCACTTGGAACCGCTACTACGGGGTCCACCAGAACCAGAACTGGGACACTTCATAAGTGTCAGGTCACTGAGGCGGTCAGTTGGATCAAGAGAGTCATTTATGATACTTCCATTCTCAGATAGATCTTCAAAGTCTCCATGTCCATTTCGATGTTTCTCAATTTCCAGTCTTAGAACCCCTTTAACAGGTTTATGAACCTTCCGTTTAGGGTCCTGTAAAATCCAAAGAATAAATTATTAGACAATAGTACATTAGGTAATGTCATATGTCATAATGTTTCAGACGGTTTATAGGGATTTCTCCTCTAAATGAAAGCAGCGATCGATGTGATATCCATAAAAAGCATATCCACAATTCGGATCTAACACTTTTTATGTGAGTGTAACAAAAGACAGCTCATAAATCTTGTTCTCTTCTGATGTAGTGATGTACTAGTACATATAATCGTCACTAACTGCACTTCAGAAAGATGAAACGAAATGAAGGGCTTCCCTTCCTCATAACTCATAAAATAAGCACCATTATGTGATTGTCAAGTGCTACCAGGATTGATTCATTCATATAGATAACATAAAAAAAAAAGATCAATATGAAATAGAAAAGGCTACAATCAATCGATTGTGTATACAACTTTAATTGTGTACATATATATCCAGTTCAGGAAAGACCAAGCAAGTGTGCCTAGCAAGTATCAGACGTGCTAGGATGATCAGATTGAATAGGAAATCAACATGAAAACTATTTTACACCATATCTAGTTCAAAGCAATGTAAATACAATCATAAAGAGTATAATAAAACTATGACTAGAAACTGTGTTGGCTGTGAAAATTAAACATCCTACCTGAATTGACTCCTCAGAGTAATTCTCCTTAACCTTGTTTAAATTAGATATTTCAACGACGACAGAACTTCCACCAGAATAACCTTGCTTTCCATCAGATGTGATCTTTGCAATGGGTTCAAAAACCCCATCATGGGAACTTGAAGCAGTCATACTGGGAGCCAGAGGACTGCTAGGGGAAGCAGGTTCACCATTGTTTGTGGCGAAATTATTATCAAAAAGCGGAACAACTGCCCAGGCAAAAGACTCTCGGTAAGGCATAATGCGGGACCAGACCTGCAACTTTTGCTTTTCCCTTTCAGTTAAGTGCACCTGATTCGCGAATGGCCAAAGAACTGAGTTACCACAAACAGGATACTTACAAATGGTGATATAAAGATGCAGCTATCACCATGACTACTCCTAAATATATAATCAAAACACTAGTAAGTCAATAGACTATCTTTAGATCACTCCAAATAAATTTTGAGAGCCAAAATCTCCAAGACCGAGACATTGAACATGAGCAAGAGACAGTAAGGGGAATTCTAGGATTAAGGCAATTACAGGTTCTTTACGGGAATAGACAGATGATGTAACGCCTCCCTCCTCTGTTGCTGTTTTTTCTAATTGAATCAGCAAGCAAACTGATGCTGATGGAGCATCTAGATAAAATACTCCACGATTTTCAGATGAAAGTTTAGCCTGCAAGAAAATGTACAAGAAACTCAAAATCAAAATCAACTTGATAGTACCACAGAGAAGAAAAGATGAAAAGGGGCCAGTTCACTCAGTTCAGTGACTTACATCCTGCATTTCCGTTGGCAAAATATGGAAATAAAAATCCTCAGAGAGTTTCTCTTTCCTCTCTTGATTGTACAAAGAAATCGAGCCAAAAAATGGTTCTGCAGGGTAGCAAGAGAAGGGCGTGAAAAAAAAGGAACTCAAAGAGGTTAAAATAGATCTAAAATTACAACAAATAGACAGTATTCCCCCAACAGCTAGTCAGAGTCCTCACCAACTAAGCCAGACTGAAAAGCTAGAGACAAAACTCTGACAGATATCTTCATTCCACTGTGAAGGGAACAGAAGAATAAATCAGGCAAAGATACTAAGACAGGATCAGGTAAAGCACAGCGAAATGCAAAAGATAACCTGGAATAGCTTGCTGCAGGAGACTCTGGAGTTCTCTGGCCAAATATCATAGATCGTTCATTTTCCCAATCAAAAGCTGGTTCATATGCAGGGAGCGGAGGTTGCCCAAAGTGCTGCAAACAAAAAATAGCATACCATTGGAAAATAAGAACAAAAAAAATGAGCAATGTAGAAGAGTTGTGCAGAGAAGAATAAAAACCTTGGAGGATCCAGAATCAGCAAACGGCCTCCCGGAAATGCTGGCTACATCCTCCTCCAATGTCGCACTCCTAGCACTAGCAAGACGGATTTCTAGAGAAATCACAAGTAGTGAGAATTGACTTTCGGCATAAAATTGACAAAAAAGAGGCAAAAACACACATGCATCCCTACCAGTCTCAGTATCTGTGTCAGGTCCTTCAAAAATCTGAGTCTGGAAAGAATCAGGCCGAGTGTGTTCATAGTGACCGTATTTATTAACATCCTTGACCCATTCCGTTCCGTAGCATTGAACCAATTGGTTCAAATGCGGCCACTGCTCCAGGTTTTCATCAAGCTGGTTACGAAAATCAAAAGTAAGAGAGAGACAGAAACGCAATTAAAAAGCTCTTAGGCAGCAAAAGAGGAGACATACCAAAGGATCGAGCTTAGGGAGAGCAACAGGCTGGCGAGGAATCTTGCGAAAGCGAAGGCCAAGGTTGTTGTTGTTGTTGCTCTCCATATTGATTTTGGTATCGAAATCGGAGATCTATACAATGTATGCTACAACATCTCTGAGCTACACAGAAGAAAATTGGGCGTTGTTGTAGTTGTTGTTAATCTGAAAACCTAGAAAACGGGAAGAAGCACATTTGGATTTGGTGAGTAGATCTGCGAGAGGAGAGAGAGCTCACGGTGAGTGAGTGAGTGGGAGGAATCTTTGCCTTTACGCAGAGGAAGAGATCCGTGAGAGTGGAAGCAGTTGTGGAAAAAAAGCGAAAGAATTATTCATTCATTATCAAATAGCCGTCGAGCTGGAGCCGAAGTCCAACCACAGTCCAACTCCACACTCCTTTTTTTTCTTAATTTTTTATTATTTAAAGAGTCAATCAACGACTAAATTCTCACAATTTGAGTAAATAATGCAAAATTAAAACACTAAATTCTCACAATACCAACAAATATCTGTATTTGTCGTATCCAAACAAAAGAATTTACTTGTTACATTTTAAATATTGAGGCTTTATTCCATTCTCTGAGATAAACGTGTTCATAGATATTCAACGTGCTTCGAACCAGATTCATCTAAACCAATTTCATACCGGATCAAACCGAGAACCATAGATCGGACAAGTTTTCAGAAACAATTAGATAGGAGTGAGTAACATACAAAGTATATACCATAATCTCTTAAGCCAAGTAAAAAAAGAATCAACTTGCACCAATCAAAATCAAAAATCAAAAAATCATATCCCTCATCATTCAGATTTCAGATGGGTTGTCTGACACTATAGTGTGAAACACAAAATGTGTAAATGTCTTCGTTATGTCTCTGCACAAACACAAACACACAAAAAAAAAGACTTGTTAGGCCTATAATCCAAAATATGATAACAAAGAGATGAAGAAGGTAGAGAGCTGACTTGAGATGTTGAAGGGTCATGTTTTGTAACAAAGAAGGATGGAGAAGAACAAGACTCTGCCACTCTTCCTTATCAATCTTCCCGTCCAGTTTACTATCAGCTTCTTCAAATGTCTACACCAATTTCATTTTTATATATAATCATGTCAAATAACAAAAATGAAGAAGACTAGTCAAGGTCAATGGAGATCAATATCAAAAGCCCCCACCTTATCTATAATGCTCTCTATCACATCATCAGAAAGGTTCATGCCAGATTCAGCTAGAATTGCCACCACCATTTGCTTCAACTTCACATCAACATAGGATTAGAAAAACGTAAAACACACATACACATCTCTAAGAATAATGCCAACTGTATATAAATATAATGTACCTCGTCTCTCTCTATATACCCTTGCTGCTTCAGATCATACAGCTTGAAAGAAACTGCAGAGGCAAATCAGATCATATCAAAGAGCGTGACAAGGTTGGATATTAAAAAAGGACAAAGACCAAAACTCTACCACTTACACTCAATCTTATCATCCATTTGAGCCTTGGGGTGAAAAACCGAAATAGCACGCGCAAAGGTTTCAAAATCTAGAATCCCAGTACGCTTGGTATCAAACAAGTCAAACACCTGCAAAAGCTTGAACATGAGTTCACAAAACAAGGAAACTCAGATTTGACGGCGTTAAAAAGTCTTTTTTACCCTATCAGCAAAAAGGCTTCTCTTATTGTTTGTCTTGTTGAATAGCACCAATTGAAATTGTTCCTGCAAAATTTGAAAGGATGATACTGAATGTATAGGACGAAGGAGTACTAGTAGACGATGGAATTCTGCATATACCTTGTCGATAAGCCCGTTTCTGCTAATGCTCCTGAACATTTCGTAAAGAGCTTCAATCTCATTGACAGTAACTGCAATCATCAGTACAAGAGTGACTTTGAGTTGTGATGAGAATCAATAAGCAGTTGAGTGAAAGTGTAAGGAAAAAGTAGACATACACACAGTGCCTCTGGCCACATCCTTAGGGTTCTGAAGACACCTGCACTGTGAGGAGAGATCAGCATCGCAACAAGTCAGCAGAATTGTGATGAAGTGCTTTAATCCATCAAAACACTGCATCAACATCTCTCTTTCCAACTCACTATTTCCATGCCTACCACAATCCACAAACACAGAAAAAGATGGTTAGTTCCACTGAATATCATTCAACAGAAACCCTCTAAAAGTTGAGGGAAAGTTAATCGAAACAGATGCCAAAATTCAAGAATCGAACACAAATATGACGATCAGACGCAGAAATGGCTGACATCAAACGGATAACATATCGCAGGTAAAGAGGAGGGAAGTGATGAGGAAGGAGTAAGTTTTGACTTTTGAGAGAAGAGAAGAAGATGAACACACAAAAAAAATTACTTTTTTTTTGTTTTTAGTTTCTTTCGTTTGCGTGTAAAGAAGCTTGAGATAACGACTTGTTCAGAAAGAAAGTTTTTCACTTTCACCACGATCTCGAGCTATTGTTGGCTGCTGAGACCTGAGAAGGGATCAACAAGTTCGTTGGCGTAAAATTAGTCGTCTCTTAGTTAGTTGGTGACCACTTGGACAAGTTGACATTTTGAAAGAAAGAAACAGAGAGAGAGAGAGAGTTACTAAAGTGGGAAAATAAGATATCCAAGAATGTATTCATCAAGACTAATAAGATACCCAAGAATCTTTCTGGCAAGTCACTGACACAGGTCTGAGTTCTTGGATCTCTGGCACCAACTTTTCTCAACTGCTTTCAGGTTTGGTTTGATTCTCAGACACTTTTTGGCACATTGATCGACTTTATCGGCCTAGAGATTTTGCCAACTCTCATCCGAATTTTACATGATCATCAAAGCTTCGAAACTTGGCCTGTGACGGTTCTTCTCCACCGTCACCATCGATTTCAAAACTCATTCTCCGCTACACAGAACCAAGGTTTTTTCATTGGCCATCAATGTCAACAAATTATCAATGGGGGCCCAAGAGGCCCACACCATTCAACTTTATGATTGTGTTATTGGTTTGGTTGGACAGGTTTGAATAAAGAGATCTGCTCCCATGTCGCAAGCACAGGCTATAACCCCCTAGGGACCAGGGGTGCTTCATTTATTATATGTTTGTTTTCATTTATCATGTGTTTTATCACCTATGGAAAGACTAATTGAGAGTGATGGAGAACATTTATTAACCAAAACAGAAATTTGATCTAAGCCACAAGCTTTTCTTCAAAAAAAATTAAGTATATTGCTCTCCTTGTTTTTTTTTTTTTTTTTTTTTTTTGGTAAAGCTCTCCTTGTTGTTAGTTAATGAATCAAAGACATCTAATATTTCGTAATGCCTGATACTGATGTGACTGAGACCAAATGTAGGGGTGATTAGCAATCAAATCAAATTATAGGGTGATAAATGCAAATTAATAAAACCAAGAGAAGAAAGTAAAAACAGAGAAGAGTAAGAGCATGTCCATTAGACAAACTCTTTTAAGAATCCTTAAGAATATTTTAATAGTTTTTTCTGTTTTAGGAAAAATTATAAAACTCTAATCATTTTAATGGTCCATTAGTGAACCTGTAATGGGTGTCTTAAGAATAAAATATATATTTTTTTTAATTTTTTTTTAATTTTTGTTTATTTTTTTTTTAACTTAATTTTAAATTTAAATATACATTTCATATAAAACAATATTATTAAAACATTACAGAAATTTTAAGAATACAAAATACATATATAGATCGTAAAACTTTTATTTCTACTCTTCAGACGAACCAAATTTGTTCCAGATATGCTGAATTAAATCCGCTTTCAATCGTTCATGTATTTGATTATCACGGACTTCATTTCGAATTCCGATCATATTGAGGATGTTTGTAGACATAGTTGTAGAGTATCCCATATCTACTTGTGAAGTTCTGGTTGATTCACTTCCTTGAAATTCTTCTATATCATGCAGATTGTAGTGATCTCGTTCGTTTTCTACAATCATATTGTGTAATATGATAGATGCTCGCATAATTTTTCCAATTTTTACCTTATCCCAGAAAAGAGCTGGATTTCTTATTATTGCAAATCGAGCTTGCAGAACTCCAAAAGCACGCTCGACATCTTTTCGGACGGATTCTTGGCAAGTAGCAAAACACTGTGATTTTGGATCTTGAGGGAGTGAAACAGATTGTACGAAAGTTGCCCATTTTGGGTAAATACCGTCAGTGAGGTAATAAGCCAAGTTATACTTGTGTCCATTCACCCAGTATTGCACTTTTGGAGCTCGACCTTGTAAAATGTCATCAAAAACAGGTGAACGTTCAAGAACGTTAATATCATTCAAGGTACCTGGAGGTCCAAAAAACGCATGCCATATCCAAAGATCTTGTGATGCTACTGCCTCCAAAACAATTGTCGGTTTTCCAGAACCACGTGTATATTGCCCTTTCCAAGCAGTAGGACAATTCTTCCACTCCCAATGCATACAATCGATGCTTCCTATCATCCCGGGAAACCCCCGCGCCTCTCCATTATCGAGGAGTCTTTGAAGATCATCTGATGTGGGCCTTCTTAAGTATTCATCTCCGAACAATTGTATTATTCCGTCTGTGAAATTTTCCAAGCATAATAGTGCAGTACTTGCACCTAGTCGGAGGTATTCGTCAACCGCATCAGCCGCACAACCATATGCCATCATACGAATTGCTGCCGTACACTTTTGTAGTGCAGATAGACCAAACCTTCCGTGAGCATTTCTTCGTTGTTGAAAGTACGGAACTTCATTAGAGAGGCGACCAACAATACGCAAGAACAAGTCTTTGGTCATTCGAAAACGGCGTCGAAAAATATGAGGCGGGTATGTTGCACCTTCACAGAAATAATCATTCCATAAGCGGATATGACCTTGTTCGCGTTCTCTTTCAATATATGCGCGTTTCTTCTTTTGCTTTGCTGCGGTATGACGATCAAGAACAGCGTCGAACAGATCGTCACATTTTTGATCAATAATATCATCAATAAGGTCATCAAAAGAATCATCAAGACCATTGTTGGAAGATGATGCCATAATTGAAAAAAATTTGATGGAAAATTAAAGTTGGTTAGACTTTAGGAATTGAGACGTTTGATGGAGAATACAAAATTTTAGAAATAGTAGAATTTAGAAATAGCAGAAATTTGAAGAAGATGAAATTTGGAAATCGATATATGAGAAAGAGAAGAAGGGGTCTTTGTTGTAGTTAACTATATTGGTTTTAGACATATATATAGAAACAGTTGTGTTCGAAACTTGTGGTATACAATTACAAAACATAAAGTTGTGGCTTACAAATGTCATCCAAATACATGTGGGTAAAATATTCATCCAACAACATGTGGAATATACATGTGGGTAAAGCTTTTAAAACTCAGCCTAGTAAATCTTATCACTCGTGACCAACATCTTATCCCACACCATCAAATACAAGCCATCTTCCCATTGAAGTCATCAAAACCAACGATCATTACTCCATCATATCCCTACACCAAAAAATATCATAAATAATTATTCATAAAACATATACATAAAACATAAAAGAAGATACTATAACATTAACATTAATAGCAAAAAACAAACACAAAAGAACTACATAGCCGAGCAACATAAACCTTAAAAGAAAACAAAAAAAATTAAACACTAACTACATAGAACTACATAGCCGAGCAAAACAAATGTATCAGAAGATACAGAAACTTATGAAACCGATACAATAATGCTTTAAGCCAACAACTCATTAATAAGCTGGGTCTTCAAGGCCTCTTCTCTCTCAGATAGTGGCTCAGCTTTACACAGAAGACTATCCAGCAATTTTTTGTTAGTAATCTTGTCCTTCATGGCAAGGTCTCTCTCCTTCATTTCATACATGCTCTTTATGTCACTCAGCCCACTAACTGCTTCTTTACCACCAGAGGTACCAACCAGTTTCTTTTTTGCAGCCTTGGCAGCTTTTACACCAGGTGGCCGAGCCATGCTAACATCATCTCCATGGTCTTAGGTTTGTGAGTTTGTAGTGTGAGCTGAAGTCTCACCAACCTTCCTTCTTTTCCCCTTTCCACCATCTTTAACCGCAGATGCTGAGCACCATTTTTGGTCATGTCTAAGTTCCCTCCAAGCATGTTCAAGATTGAACTTGAATTGGTGATCATTGTAAAAAATTTGGTGAGCTGTCTTCATCACGTCATTCTCATTTTGCCCACTGGTTTGAGCCTTCAATGCAGCTTCATAACAGCCGCAAAACTTGGAGACATGGTCGTTGATCCTCTGCCACCTCTGCTTCAGCTGACCAGACTCTCTATCTTGCTCATTAACCAGCTGTTTAGAAGAGTTGAAGTAGATGGTTATTCTTTTCCAAAAAGCATCTACTTTTTGCTCATTGCTGATGATTGGATCTTTAGAAGTGTTCAACCAGGCGCTTATCAACGCAACATCCTCCACAAGAGACCACTTCCTCCTCTCTTTCACATTTCGCTGATCAGGTACTTGGCTGCTAAACCTTGGAACTTCATGTGATCCAAGGTCTTGAGATGGTGAAAAACAGAATGTCTGTTCCTCTTGACTTGTCAAGAGGTTTACAAACCCCTGTGAACTGTTAAAAGAGTCCATGGTTTTGAGAAAGACTCTTCGGTTTAAGAGATGAGAGTGAAAGAAATGAGGATATTTGTGAGTTTTAGAAAGTTTAAAAGAGTGAAAGAAATGAGAAGAGTTGAGAGTTTAAGAAAGTTTTTACTCTTCACCTAAAAACTTTCTATATGTAATCGGTTTTATAGAAGTTTAAAAGATTAAAAGTTTTAAAAATGAGAAATGAGAATTTGATGAATGTGTTTAATGAGAATAGATGTGTTTTAAATTTTTTTGTGTTTTCAATGGAAAGAGTGCTTTTACTCTTCACCTAACAGCTTTAACTCTTTTAAACCAGTTTCAATCAATCAAGCATTCATAACAAAACACTTAAGCCTTCACCTAACAAATATCTTTGAACCCTTTTCACCAAAAAAATGTTCAACCGATGCACTTCTAAGCCTAACTATCTATGCTAACAACTAGTTACTTGTATGAACCAAACTAACCTTGCATTTGCACTGCAAAGAATGCTTGATTGCTTCCAACATCAGCTCTTTATTGTCTCCCAAGTTAACCTAGCCACAAAACAAGAATAAGGATCAACACAAACCCAAACATTGCATATTTTACTTACACACATAAAAATGTCATCGGATATTTGATGTTGATTTACCTTTGGATATGTGATACACTCGTCAAAAACATGCCATCTGACTCTGCTTGATGAACCATCTATGTTTGTTTATCCATGTACCCTCGTCAAAAACATATACCCAAAAAAATTAGTATATGCAAACACAAACAAAACCGATCATATGCCAATAACAAACCAATTACATCCAAAATATGCATAAAACGTATGTAAACTACACTAATATAGACTATTACTCATTCAATTTAGCATAATTTAATTACAAGAAAAATCCCCAAATCAATCAAGAACCCTAATTTACCGATGTTCCCAAAAATCCCCAAACAACTTCGAAATCGTTAAAAGAAACTTACCAATGTTCGCATATGACTTTATTCTTCATAGAAGCTCGGATTATATCGTCGTTTAGGAGGATTGATCGGAAATTTGTTGATTTCGTTGAAGGAACCATAAAATCGCCATTGAGAAAAAAAAAATGTTGAGAATGAGATTTGTCGGGGAGAGAGAAATCCTGCACGACCCCAAAATGCTTCCCACTTTTTTTTTCCTCTCAACCAATGTTGAATCGCCACGTGTACTCGTGAATAGTTTATGGATCGATCCATATAATCCTTCTACAAGGATCGGTCCATAACTTGTGGACTTTTTCCTTTTTTTTTTAAACCCAAGATTCTCTATGAAATCCACCTAAACCTAGTTAAAATACTTCAATGGACCTGGTCTAAGTGGGCGAAGATGGAGAGTGTATTTAACAGTTGATGAATTGACACAAACAACAAACAAAAGAAAAAAGAAACACAAAAACAAAATGGTTGTTCGATTTGATATTTGTGTGGAGAGTCTTGAGTTGAGTTAAATCAAAGATTGGGCCTTTTTTAATTTTTGCTTTTTTTCTTTTTCCCCTTTCTAAGTTTTTTTCTGATCTCAGGGAGGCTTTTATAATTTCCCCTCAATTTCTCCGTCCCTACTCATTTTGATCAATTTCTACGAAAAGCACGAATCTTTAAACCCGGGACTGTCCTTGTAATCGAGTGTGTCCTTGTACAATAATAACAATCGATGAATTTTGTGGTGAGATCCGGTGAGAGATAGATTTTATAATAAGGCAAAGATTAGATTACCCTTTGGGCGTATCCTCCTTTTTTGTTCTGTGTGTGTGTGATATGGGTAACGTGAACGCGAGAGAAGAAGCGAATAGTAACAACGCATCTGTGGTCGAAGACGACGACGCTGAGATTTGCTCTCGACAAGCCATGGCTGCTGCTTCCGATGGTAACCATACCGCACCACCTGAGCTCATGGGTCAATCTCCTCCTCACAGCCCTCGAGCTACCCAATCTCCTCTCATGTTCGCTCCTCAGGTTTTTGCCCCCTTTTTTCTCTCAATTTCCAGATTCACTTTCTAAATCTCGAATCTTCGGGGTTCGGAGATTGATGAAAAGATCTGAAAGAGCCAAAGTTTGTGTCTTTTTGGGTTAGGTTCCGGTGCTTCCACTACAAAGACCAGATGAAATTCACATCCCAAACCCGTCGTGGATGCAATCGCCTTCTTCGTTGTACGAAGAGGCTTGCAACGAGCAAGGAATCCCAACGATGATCACATGGTGCCATGGAGGAAAAGAAATCGCTGTGGAGGGATCATGGGATAATTGGAAGACAAGGTTTTTTTTTTAGCTGAATGTTGGTAAAATCAATGGCTTCTTTTAATCATTTCGAATCTCTCACTGTTGTTGTTGTTTTGGTGGGTTTGATCAGAAGTCGGCTGCAGAGATCTGGGAAAGACTTCACAATAATGAAAGTGCTGCCTTCAGGAGTCTATGAGTACAGGTTCATTGTTGATGGACAGTGGAGGCATGCCCCTGAGCTCCCTTTGGCTCGAGATGATGCTGGAAACACTTTCAACATTTTGGACCTCCAGGTAACGTTCTCAGCTTTCAAATCGGTTACTAGGTGGAGAAAAACGGAACGTTTAATGAGGATGTAGGGAATGCAAAAGAGATCTATGTTAATTTATAGTTAAAAAACTAGGCTTTATAGTTCCTTTTCCGGTTTGTGCCTGAGAACAGAAGAGATGATACTTTGATGTTATGCAGGACTATGTTCCTGAAGACATTCAAAGCATATCTGGTTTTGAGCCTCCACAATCTCCAGAGGCTAGTTACAGCAACTTGCTTCTGGGAGCTGAGGACTACTCGAAAGAACCGCCTGTGGTTCCACCGCACCTACAGATGACGCTACTGAACTTGCCAGCAGCTAACCCTGACATTCCATCTCCGTTGCCGAGACCTCAGCATGTCATTCTCAATCATCTTTACATGCAGAAGGGCAAAAGTGGTCCATCTGTGGTTGCGCTTGGTTCCACTCATCGGTTTCTAGCAAAGTATGTAACTGTGGTGCTCTACAAGTCCCTGCAGAGGTGAGAAGAAGATGATGCCGATTCCAAATGGGTAGCATGTGGAAACTCGACATGCTCCTATCTAGTTTGGTGTTTCAAAGTCTTAACTCATGGAGAATGGGTGAGGCTACTATAGGAAGGAGACATGCTAAGAAGAGTAATTTCAGGCAAAGTATTCCCTCAATACGGCGAATTTTGTTGTCTTTAAAGTTGTCAATAAGGTTTACCAACAGAATGAAGATGCAGTATTCAATCAGTGTCAATGTAATCTTTTGGTTTGAAGACTTCATCATCTGTTTTTTTTTTTTTCTTTTAGCATAATTTAGAAAAGAAGAATGCAGGAACTACTTCACTTGTAAAACCGGCAAATCTTCTCTCTCTTTTTTTGGCTTTGTTTTGGGGCTTTCAAGTTTTCACAACAGTTGTCACACCTGCCAGTCATAAATTTTTGTTTGGCTTTCAAATTAGCAAAGTCATGTGTGACTGACTGATGATCATATGCCTCTCTGCAACTTGTGTCACAAAGCATCTGCAGATCACGAATATATCGGTGAAAAAGCAAAAGATGACAGATTTCTTAATGAGCATCAACGCAAAGCCCTTCTCCAATTAGTTAGTACTTCATTATCTCAATTTTCAAATCTAAAGTAGAGAGTTTATTGCATTCTGATGGCCACTATCTAGCAGTAGAAAAGGCTGTACAGAAAGAAGCAATAATAGAAAGTGCAAAACATGTGGTTTATATGTTTGAATCTAACAATCAAGCTCCTGAATTTAGAAAACGGGACAGCCCTTGGCTCTGATTCCAGGAGCCGTGGGACAGGTAGCAAGAGGGCAGTGGTCTACTTCAGTGCCCCACCATTTGAGGTCGTGTCCAGCATTCTGCAGGGCGAAGAACAAGAGCACCCCCATGAATGCAGTCCCTGCGTCGAGCGCTGCAGAGAGTACGTAGTTGTACTTCTGCCACCATCTCTTGTGGTACCTGAACACAAAGTAGTTGAAGATGGTTCCTGTGACCAACCAGCTAGCGATGTTGGTTGGAGTCGCTGGAGGCATCCCTGCAAAACCGTAGGAGATAACTGGAATGTTGATGAGAGGGATCCACTTCTTGTTTGGGAAGATCTTGCTCATCGCCCAAACAGGAACAGGCAGGACAGCTCCAATGAGGAAGAGCCAGACAAGGTTACGGTACATGCCTCCTGGTCCAAACAGCCGTCTTGGTCCAATCAACCCCCAGATAACTGAAGCATCGAACGTCACTCTGTACTTGGGGCATGTCCAGGGGCTATTAGGGTGCTCTCCTTCGATGTCGCATATGTCTTGAATGCTCTCCAGCATCCACCAGGCCACTCCCAGATTCACCACACTAGCTACGACAGTGCCCACCAGCTGAGCCGTGTACATGCAGCGCGGTGGGATTTTCATGTAATGGCCAAGCTTAAGGTCTGCCAAGAATGAAAGAGCGTGGACTGTGCTGATTCTGCCGTAAATCTTGAAAATCAGGTTTGCAATGGGTTTTCCTGGGAGGATATAACCGATAATGAACTGCCCTATTATATCATATCCTGGTTGCTGCATTTTTAAGAAAAATATACACAAAGATTTGAGCATGTGTTTTTTTAAGGTATCATCTTATTGGTTGCCTATATATACAGAACTAGTAATTAACCTGATTTGTAGTTGCTTGAATGACGCCGATAGGGAGAGTGACAATAAAGGCCATTGCAAAAGCAAAGAGCATTCCCCACCATGGAAGCTGCACTGATTCCTTCCACACGAAAGACATGAGGAGAGACATGGCTACACTTCCTAACAGCAACAGATAAAACCACCACTCAGGCACTTGTTTGTATCTTTGCATCAATTTCCCATGGATGTCCAGCTTCACTGTCTTCACTGCAGACCAAGTCTGCCTCCATATGTCCCTGCGCAAAACACACCAAAGTGATTCTCATTCTCTTACCACAGTGTCCTAGCTACTCAACAAAACTGAGTTACAAACTTAACTAACCTGCCGTTGAACAATGCCACATGAGTTAGTGTTGCAGTGAACCTCGCAAAGCCAGATCCGATGGAGAGTGCGAAAAGAGGGCTGAGGTAAAGCTTCCCGTAATTGTTATAGGCATTAATATCCAGATCAAACCGCGGAGTCAAGATCTTGGTCGTGTCATACTTCTGGCCACTGGAAGTGAATAGCTGGTTGGAGAAAATTGGGAACTTCCTGGCGTCGAAAGTGTTGAACTTCCAGTAACAAACAGGGACGATGATGTATATAAACATGATGAAACCAACACCAACGTTGAGGATAGAGGACCAAGGAGCCACTAAGGGACTACCATGGTAAGCAGAGATACCAGCCCAGTCAAGAGTGAAGGCTCCAACGCCAAGGCCATGGTAGCCTGAGCCAACTTGCTGAGCCGTGATGCTCTTAGGCCAAGCCCAACAAACCCATGAGAAGAAGGTCAAGATTGGGAATAGATAGCCTGGAAGCGCGTAGTAAAGAAAGCTAGCACCAAGAGCCACTAGAAAGAACTGCATCCTCGTCAAGCCTTTCGACTTGTGTTCCTTCTCGTGCAACGCTCTGAACAAAGAGACATACAGGATTATTAAGTAGTTGATTAACGAAAAGACTCAGCTTTCGCATTTGGGGTTGGATAAGAACCTGAAGAGAGAAACTTGAGCAAGATTTGAAGGCCACCACATGTCGACAGGATCAACCAAGTACCTCCTCAGGATTCCAGCCCAGCCGTAACCCAAAATCTACAAAACCCATTCGTCAATTATCAAACTTTATACGAATTTTTGAATCTCAACAGAGAGAGAGAACGGAACCTGAGTGGTCAAGACGATGAAGAGACCACAGATGAAGCTAAGGCTCTGTTTATAGTAAGCCTTCATGACGGTGATGGCTCCAATGGAGTAAGCATCACCACCACCGTAAGCAACACCACAATTAGCGAAGATGGTGATAATGACGTGCTCCTTGATGTTGAAAGGCCCTGGATTGAGGCTAAATTCCCATCCCATAAGCTTGTGTGAAGTGGTGGGGAGAGTCCGAGCCATGAACTTGCCAATGGGCAAGACAGCAATTTGCATGAGGATGGCTGAGATAGTGAGTGGCTGCGTGCGGTAGGTGAAGAAAGTGTTGAGGAAGATGAGAAGGACGCAAGAGGTTAGACCCAAGAACCAAGCCCTGAATGTCATCACCGGTAAAGTTGGGTCGTCCGTCTCAGGCACAACGAGAGCCACTTCCTCCACGGGACAACGCTCGTGGTCGAGATGACCATTGTTATCGTTATTAGCAGCTTTCTCTGCGTCCATTTTCTTCTCTTCTTCCTCTCTTGAGGTACCAGACAAAGTAGCGTCTCTCTTGGTTTATATAACCAAAGGAGAGAGACAAGGAAACGACTGGCGAAAAGAAGAAATGAGTAATGCTCTCCAAAAATTACACCTTTGCCCTGTCCTCCTATACGTTAGTTTAACCACGTGTCAATCTTTTGGCTTCACGCATACCGATGTGAAATCTTTGTCAATCAATTCATAATCAAAATTATTACATTAATTTCAGTTAAGAGTCGAGAACTATTTTATTGTATCATTTCAGTGAAAAAAAATAGTATCTATTTAGATTTTCAGTTGATATTTTTACCTAAATTTACAAAATACGTCTAAATATCTGACTCTTTCTGTTTAATTTGTTAGTTAATAAAAAATATATTGTCAGGTTTTTTTCTATAGCTGGATAAATATTTGACTAATCTGGCCAAATTCAAATAAATTAGTGGCTACTTGAAAAAAGAAAAACAACAATAAGTTAGGGGTATGGTGAAAAGGAAAAGAAGAAAACTAAATTAAGGAGTAAGAAATTGTTTAGACACATTGGGAGGCTGTAAATGGTTGCTTACCATATTTTTTCCACGCGTGTGAGACACACGTGCCGTCAGAAGTCTGACACACTCATATCTCTGTCTAGTTATAAGCTTGTCTCGTGTAGGACCCGTTTTGACACTCGAGTGGGACCAGACGTTTCACGTTTCCCAACGCCGTGAGAGCTGATGCACCAGAAATATGCAGGTAGAAGAGAACGGCCGTTAGTATTTCTGACGGACGTCGTGCCTCGTGGGCGTGTGAAGCTCGTGGTGTACGCAGAACAGAACTTGATCCACGTGCACATCATGCTAACGTGGTCATGACAGAGTGGCAGTGACAGGTGGACACGAGCGAGTGGATTTTGGTCCTTTGAATATGTTTTTTTTTTTACCTTTTTAAGCACTTTCTATTGGTTGTCCTTGAAGACTCAAGAGTCAATGAAACAGTGATTTAAAGAAACGACGGCAAATAATATTAAAGTAAAATAAAGGGTTTGATTTTCCTATGAAGTGGAATAAAGAGGAATAAAAAAAACTGAAGCGTAAAAAAAGAAGAGAATAATATACATGGATTAGGGCAATAAGTGTCAACGTTAAACAGTTTTGGTCAGAAGCGTCCTGAATGATAAAACTATGTTTGGTTTCTCACCGTGATTTTGTAAGAAAAAGAACAAAAATTTAAATTAGCTGAATAACAAAGGTAAATACTCATATACGGGCTATATATACATACATATTTCAAAACCTGTATATGAACAAGAATAACATGCATGAATGATGAATCCCTCTCATAGTTTAAATAGGAGGATTTAAAGTAATTATCAAAAAATCTTCTTTAGCTGATTGGTGAGACTTGAGAATCTAGCGGATACCCAAAACAAAAGGTCAAGCTCTTTAATCGCTAAAGGAATATTTTTTGTTTAGTTTTTGTTCTTTCTGTTTCGAGGAATATAATTTGGAAATGAGATGGTAAGAGAGAAAGTTGTAGAGACCACGACACCAACTTGGTAAATAAGATTCTTGAGTAGTTTTGAAGCAATGTGTTTGGATTTGAGAGGATGACATATCACACAATCCCCACACTATATTCTTTCTTTTTCTTCCACACATAAAACGACACTTCCTCATTGTAGATATTCCCTTTATTCCCTTGAACCCTGATAAACCCCTTTTTTAGATTTCTTCGTGTTTCTCTTCCTTTTCCTTATTATTACATGAAAAAAATCAGCACTATATCTATACATTTTAGTTCACGAACCGTAAATATATATCATTGAGTAAATAATTATGCACCAAGAAATTATAGCAATCATTTCATTTCGGCCTTTTATACCTTTTTCTTAAAGGCAAAAAGCGAGCGAGGCATTACCATGCGGGTCTGGCTTGATTCTGCATCGACCAAAACGAATTCCTTCTATTCCATTCACATATTTCATTGTCTCAAGTGCTTGTCGTTGTCTGACCAAATTCACATATTTACTGTATACATGTAAATAGTTAGATACTTTGATATCTTGAGTTTTAATTATGTCGAAGTTTATATGTTGCTTTT